AAATAGTAGATATATAAACAATTAATCTATGGCGCGCCTAACACAGCGCACACACGAGCGACAGACACACACACACACACACACACCACACACACATCATAACACAGCACCACACACCCACACACGCACACACTACAGCACACGCACACACGCACACAAAGGAACAAACAACACACACATACACATTACATATACACGGCAACAAAACACACACACACACACATAGCATACATACAGCAGCCAGCACACACCACATACACACACACACACACTACACACCACACCACACCACACCTATCTATTTTATCTATTCTATCTATTCTATCGTCTGGGTGTTGATCTCTTTCTAGTAGATATATAGATATTCACTGTATATATATTATCAATTATATATATATATACTATATATATAGTAATGTTGTTAATTTAATATATATTGTTGTAACTGGACAAAGGGACGGTACCAATATAGTGGTCCTTGACCATATAATCGTGACTGCGATAGCCTTGTCATATTTCGCTCGGTCGACAACATTTGTTTGTGTAGTACGTCTTACGTGTCTATAGTAACCGTTTATTTTATCGTAATTATGCGGTTAGTAGTTATTATATATATATATATATATATATATATATATATATATATATATATGTATATATAATATCAGAAGTAGATAATAGGGATTCCCTATTATCTACTCCTGATAATATGTGTGTGCGTGCGTACGTGCGTGCGTGCGTGCGTGCGTGCGTGCGTGCGTGCGTGTGTGTGTACAGGATTAGCGTCTAAGATGTTTAAACAGGAAAATGAAACATTACTGACACGCATACGTAAAATAAATTCATGGAGTAGGCCTACATGATGTTCGGTTTCAATTCGGTTAATCATCTAAATCGTACAACGAGAAAAGAACGGAATATACAGTGAGCATCGGCTATATGCGGACCTAAGCCGATCTGCCAGCGCTCGTGTTTCCATAGCTATCGCGGAGGAACTGGGGCAGACGTGTAAAAGTGAGAGTCTGTGTACCTAGAAACTGCATGGTTCCTGGCCTGTGACGTATATGTGTGACCCTGACGTCGCCGGTCACGCGTGCGCAGTAGATATAACTATTATCCACGGCTGTCGCGCGCTTACTGACAGTAGCGGTTGTATTCAGGATCCGCACTGATAAAGAGACACAACACCGTCAATCATGCATGGACACACACATACACTATGGACATGGACATACACACATTTACTACATAAATATACCATATAATTTATTTGGCATTATTCAGTTTATTTGGTATTTATGCCAATGCAGAATTAATACGACTGATCCGCATAACATACCATACAGAATGACTACCATAACACATGATAGATCTGTGTTAATCCATGCAATATACGGTATACCAGTATCACAGTACTCTCTCACTATCGCGCTCTCTCCCCCTCTCTCGCTCTCTCTTTCGCGCGCTCTCTCTCTTTCTCTCTTCGCCCGTCTCTCCCGCTCCCTCTCTCCTTCTCTCTTGCTCTCTTCGCTCGATCTCTCTCCCTTCTTATATATATATATATCTCACACTCTCTCCCTTTCGCCTTCCCTCTATCTCTCGTCGCCTGCTCTCTCTCTCTCTCACTCTCTTACTCTCGCCTTCCCTCTATCTTTCGTCGCCTGCTCTCTCTCTCCCTCTCTCTGTCTCTCTCTCTCCTCGCCATCCCTCTATCTTTCGTCGCCTGCTCTCTCTCTCCCTCTCTCTCTCTCTCTCTCTCTCTCTCTCTCTCTCTCTCTCTCTCTCTCTCTCTCTCTCTCTCTCTCTCTCTCACTCACTCTCCCTCTCTCTCTCGACTTTTCTCTTTCTTTCTTTGCGCGCTCTCTCTCTCTCTCTCTCTCTTTCTCTCTCTCTCTCTCTGTCACTCTTCCCCCATCTTTCTTTATTTCACTCTTCCCGCGCTCTCTCTCTGTGTGTTTGTAGCAGGAGTGTATTTGTGTATATTGTACCCGATTCTACACGGTATAATTTCGTCGTTAAAAAAATGATTCAATTTTTATGCTTTTCCAGGCAGAAGCGATGAAGCTCGCTGTGATCGTCGTTGCGCTTGTCATGTCGGTAAGTCATCGTAAATAAGGAGCTATATATATATATATATATACATGTAGCTCCTTGATCGTAAGAACATTCAGAGAAATTTGTAACGTGACAGCGTTACGTGACTTTTTATTTTTTTATTTTTTTTATTTTATTTAGAGCTCTCAGAGCTCCCAATGTCATTGTACTTCATGCGAATGTCACTGTAGTTTATTGCATTCGTGGGGAATTACGTCGCGAGCATCGTCGCATCTTCGATTCGAAGTGATCATCGATGTTCGTTCGTTGTCAGGTGTCGCCCGCGATGGCGCAGGATGGCTCCGCTAGGTTTCAATTATTAGATGCGGACGGAAACATTAACTCAGATTTTCGGGATCAGGTGAGTCACGAACCCACGCACAATACCTTACATATATCAGGACTGTGGCGAGCGGGCGGCAAGGCGTCTACTAGTTGTTTTTCCCACCAACGATCAAATTCATACGTATATATATATATATTATACGGTGTAAAAGATGGAACATGTCTTATATACGAAGTAAAAACTCATAGTTATAGCTTAGGAGTAAAATACATTGTGGTTAAATTTCATAAGTCATAATTATTATACGAAGTGAAAGAGCGCGTGTGTTACTACGCCGGGACATGATGCAATTTAAGTGTGTGTCACTACGCCAGCAAACGCGGGTAACGCGGATGTGGAAGCGAGGTGATCGCACATACACACACTGATTGATCTCTCCTATTCACCTGTGCCACTCGTGATCAGGTCTCTACCAGGTTGAAAGCCCAATTTCCGGATACGGATTTCAGCCAGCTCGACCGGGAAAAAATCCGGGATGCAGTCCGGAAACGGATCGGCAGTCGGCGGGAAGGCGGCCAGCTGTCGGCCGACGAGATTGAGAAGCGAATCAGAGACGGTATCCAGGAACGGTAAATACCATGCAGGATTAGCGCTCCGTGGACCCGCAGATAGACGCACGTGATGCGCACACGGAAAGAAAAATGATATAATTTCGTATTTTCCTGGGTTTCAACTCGTCAATGTATAGTTGTTGTAGTTTTAATAGCTGTGAGCGATATTTCTGCGGTTGAAAAACCGCATTACTTCTTATATTTCTTTGAATTCCATGTTATAATTGATGCTTAGACGTTGGGAAAACTTCCTTACTCTACACATTTCTCTGCGTCATTCTATGTAGTTAATGCGTGTACATGTCTCCAGACTGCCAGACCTCGATGTGTCGACGTTGAACAGGACTGTACTACGGGAGAGCATCCGCACACGCCTGCAGTCTCGCTTCCCGAACGCTGACTTCAACAAGGACCTAATCCAGCAAATACAAGCGAACCGCGTGACCGGTAGGTGGCGCTGTCTGATTCAGCTATCCGCGTGAGCACCCTATTAGAAATTGTTGCTCGGTCGATCTAGCTAGAGCAGTATATACGTGTTTTACACGTGCGCTGGACAAAAATTGTTGACATCGCGGCACTTGGTCGCCAAGCATTGTCATTAAAACCCCCTAACGCAATACTGAATGGCTAGAGATTCCCTGTCGATCACACCGGGCTGATAGAGCATTTGATTGCATTGCGATAGATAGTTACTTAATACATACAACCGCGAAGACGTCAACGTCGGTTGAAATGGTATACGTTTACATGTAGGCGTCACGACCGACTGCGACCTCTCGGGCGGAACGATGAAGATATCGATGACCTTCAAGCGACCTTTCACGGGCAACGTGTTCGCGAAGGGTTTCTATAACGCCGGCTGCAGAGTGCTGGGCACGGGAGAGAAGAACATAGCTGTGAACGTACCCCTTACGGGATGCGGAACCATCACGGAAGTCATTGTAACTATAGCAACAACCCCCTCCGCTGCGCTTGCATCTGTTTCAATGAAATATGATTCACCCTAATCTAGCAGATCATGCCTGTTAGACGAATTGCCGAAATAGATTGGCACAAACTGAATCGTCTTAGATCTAGTACGTGCTCCCAACAGTTTTCTGGGTGCGAACCAGCCACCTTTTCTGGTGCCACGCAGTGTTTTGGTGGCAGCCAGTTTTCCGGGTGGACACGTCACCTTTAACAATGACCATAATATGATAGCAAACATACACATATATCACGGCGACACCATCTAATGCGAAAGCATTACAAACAACATTACGAAAATCAGACGCCGAAAAACAGAATCCTAATATTTGCTACGTCATCGCAGAACGAAGAAGACAAAGATGGCGGCGAGACGATCTACTACGTGAACCGAATCGTGGTCATGTACGAGGCAGAGTGGGGCGTGCTGAGTGAGACAGACCGTGCCTACCAGGTCGCCTGTCAATTCGGCGGTACGGGAACGAGGCTGATCACTGCCGGACCTTACAACATACCGTGAGTACGAAAAGCCCCAGAAGGCTCATTCGAAATTCGTAATTCGAAATTTGAAATTCAAATACCGATGATACAAGACTAGTAGTAGTTGAGTTAGTTTACTTGCACGCGGTAGAATGCGCGTATAATTGCGTGTATTGTCACGTCTCGGCAGAGGACTCGGGATCACGGAAGTGGCGCCTGCGACCGTGGCGGCACCTAGTTGTTGGATGAAGGTCGTTCCTGGAACAGACCCGTTGGTCAGTGAGGTGTCAGACTTCATATTGGGAGAGACTGCCCTACTAGTCGTCACCCTGCACGACAACTGTACGTAAACACGGCTCGATTGTATACAACGTTGACACCCATTAAATTACACTCACATTATGAAGGCGGTAACAATGGGCAATCACAGATTTGAGGGTTTTATCTTGCGGATGCGACTAATCCGTCGTTTCGATATTTTTCAGCGAATTTTGACGTGTTCGTGAGAGATTGCTACGCGCACGACGGACAAAACGGCAATATAGCTTTAATTGATGAGCTTGGGTGAGGAACCTAGAATCTAACCCATGCGTCATGATAGATTCTAACATAGAAAAATGAAAAATGGTTTACACTTTCCCGTTACACTGTTATATCGATCGATCGATCGGGATTGATCGGTTGACTAATTGGTTGATTAATTGATTGATTGATTGGTTGATTGTTTAATTGATTGATTGATTCATTGGTTGATTTATTGATCTGGCGTATTAATGCGCATTACAGTACTCTAGCTGGCTTAATCGACATTGACAATATGGTATTTGGTCTCGTATATAATATAGTATATATATATTTGCTTGCACAGGTGCCCAGCACACAAGAAGGTGTCGATGACAGACGTCATAACGGATAAGGAAAGCCAACCTGGAGAAACGCTTGTCTATTTGCCGTTCAAAGTGTTCAAGTTCCCTGATATAGACCAGGTTTACTTCCAGTGCAAGTGTCGTGTGTGCGTACACGACTGTCTAGGGGTAAGTCAATGTGAGGCCGAAATAATATGCGCGTGTCTGTGAGGTTCAAATCACAGATATATATATATACTACTATACATGTCTATCCTCCGCCGTATCTCTCCTTTCGCCTGGTGTGCAGGACTACCAGCCGGACTGTTCAGACAAGTCTGCTAGGTCGAAGAGACAAACCATCATCACCGAGCTCAATGATTTACTACCTGGCCGCAGAGACAACTCCACCGACCTCAATGTCTTCAACAGTATACGCGTGCAGATACCTGAAGAGGGAAAGGATATCTATAACGGTATGATGTTATCAAGAGTCCATAATAGAAATGGATCTAGAAATGGATCTTCTATTATGGACTCGTGATGAGGACGGGGAAGAGGAAAAGGACGAGGAGGAGAAGAAAGTGGAGGAGAGAGGAGGGGACATTTATAACGATATGTTATATAAGGCAGGGGGAAGGCATATATATATATATATATATATATATATATATATAAAGGTATGGTACATGTGGGTAATATACTGTGACGTACCATGGGAGGTAAATATCTATAAGATAGTGCTGACAGGGTGTAGAATGGGGCGTAAAATAACCGTATGTTTTAACGTTAGTATGAGAATTGCTGTCGTGATTATTTTTGCGTGTCGTGATGCGTGGCAACCTGATAGAAATGAAGGATAATGTGAAAACGCCAAAATCTTTATCGTGAATTTCGTTTTGCGTTCATCTTAATATGGATTTTTACGCCTCTTGGTTTACGGCTTGCTTTATTAATTTACTCAACAGATTTTAGCGCAAATTGCAAAAAAGTTAAAATATTTGCCGTGAACAGCGATTTGGGTGACCCCATCAGGTCCTTAGCTCCTAACCGATTGTAGTACAATTACTCGCAGTAGGTTGAAACGGACAACGCAGATAAGCAGACGTGATACATTTAACTTGCAGATATCCAGAATCGTCGTTTGGCAGAGCGGGCACCAGCGCCGCGCAACGGCGACATCTGCGTCGCCAAGACGACGTTTACGGCGGCGGCTGCGGTCGGCGGCGCCGTGCTCATGACAAGCCTCATCGTCTGCTGTATGCTCATCGTCCGCCTCAGCAGCAGAGGCAAGATGGCGCCACACAGCAACACCGAGATAAAGTACTGAGACCATAGTAATAATACACAATGTCTAGATGCATCTAGGGGTCTACGTTTCTTTGACCGAGTGTCCGTTTGCTGAGGAGTTGCAGCTTACAGAATAGAATTCTAACAACTAGTTTAAAATAAATATAAGGGGGGCACCGTTCCGGCTGTGTTTGTACATTGGGAAACTTGGCAGATCCTTCGATTGAACTTCAATTACGTACTTTGAACCAATGCGACGAAATCAAAATGGCCCGCCATTAGTCGCTGCTGGTAGTTGTTTGTAGTTGTTTGTAGTCGTTGAAACGGGACATGTATTTATAATGGTTTTGTATGAGGCGGCGGTTATTTTAATGTATGTCAGTGCTGTTATTCTTTATTATTAACTCGAGGTGTGTAACCATGGCGATTATACAGTAACCGAAGGGTGTCGTCTGTTGGTTTCATGCGCGAGTCACGTGAATTTTCGTCATGACTACGCAATGCCGACTGGTGAGCAGCAGTAATCGATGGCTGAGAACACGATGGAAATGTTATATTTTATGTTATGTTGTATGCTATAATCTGACATCAGGATTAAAATATAGTATTTACTCCCCATTAATATTTATGCCTGATCAGATCATGAGCCCATGTTGCTCTTTCTATATACTAGAATGTTATCCGTATATTTTCCGTAGCATTATAGTCAGTTACACGCACCGATTAGGATGTAATATATGTAATTTTATTTTAGTCAGGCACATAAATGAATGTATAGAAAAACGCATATGATCTTCATATGTAGTTTCTCTGCGTCACCATATATATA